TCGCCAGCCGCGCGGATCCTCAACTCCCACGTCATTAGCACGAACATTTATCCTGGTTTGTCCTCACACCTAGGTCTCGATCTTAGCTCATCGACGACTCACACCTCTGAGGTTTAAATACTCACGCTCAAATGCCACCCACGACACGACACCAACGAGGTTTGGATCTGAAGTAAAACGGTTATGTCCACATCCTCTCTAGTCTTCGTCGCGGGTAGCAGGGAAGCGTAATGGGGCCAGATCTAACTCAGTGGCCCCAGCATTAAGACCACATGCTGAGGCCCACAGAATATTCAATAGGCTACAAGCCTATAGCTCATTTGGTCACTACAAGTGCATACTTGTCGATGGGAGGTAACTAATAGCTTTACAGAAGTGAACTTTCATAAAGGAATGAAATGGCGCGTTCAGTTGTCTTGGCGGAACGTGTGACATTAAAAAACAATTGGCTGGTTGCAGTCTACATTCACCTCTCGCTGTATTGCTGTTACGTGCATGCGAATACACAGTTGAAGAAGGCTTTATCGTCAACCAAGTCAATCTTTCGATTACTCTAATCAGTCAAATTAAGCGATTTCTGGGTCATGCATGGGATGCGATTTCTTCGGTAATATTTCCCTTGAACTATGACATTTGGAGTTGCCAAGCATTTATTTTCTGTACAACTTTTACATTGAGTTCATGAAAGAACTCTGGTCAGTCAGCTAAATCACAAATTATCTATAAGGTTGTGATCCTAGTAGGAAACTAGACACTATTAAATGCTGTTAACTTGCTGGTGAGTTAAACGGAATTACTTGAAAATAAACTAATACCGCAGCTTCAGGAGGTGATGTGTTTTGCCTGTTACTTCCCTTAATTGAGTTGCCTAAAATGCCAAATTACCAGCGTCGAGACCCCACGCCTCGAATTAAAATAACTAATAAAAACCGAACGTACTTTTACTACGACGTCAAAAACAAAACTATGAAACCAACCGTCAGACAGTTTTTTTCCAGTTGACGTAAGCTGCCGCACTGTCGGTTAGATGGAAAGTGGCAGGGGTTTTGATCTTCAAGCAGTTGAGTATATTCCAAGGCTCGGATAGCACGATTCGGCTGATGCTTGAAATACACGTCCTACGTCAAATTGCAAATGTTTACGGCTACAACCACTGCGATTAGATTTAGTCGTGCTAACTGGACGCGTTTCGTTGTAATTACCTCAGCTGCCTAGTAACAATTTCGCACATTTCAAATTCAATTCACGCTAGTTCGCTAGTGACCAGCTGCCCGTGAAAATGGCAATCACAACCGTTTGATGTGTAGCTTTTGGCTAAAAGCTGGGAAAACAAACAATTATGCTCGGTGATTTGTCGATGCCGTAGGAAATTATTCGGGCGCCCAAATTAGCACATATTATGAGAAACAAAAATCCCAAACGACAGTCCTAGCAAAATTGAAACCCACAAAGTGGACTCCGCGCCGAACTCCCGTCTGTTCGTGCTCTGGTGGTGGACACACCACCGCCAGTCACTTCAAGCGACTTCTGAATCCCCTCAAAACAAACTGCCTCTCCACAACCTGCCACGAGTTACACGCTAAAATTACGCCCAAATCGTCTTCTCAGCCAGGATTCACAGACACGTCTTGAGAAGAACTACACGCATCTAGAAAACAACGCGTATATTTAAAGAGCCCGTTCACTCGGCATACGGTGGACTCGGGGTGATTCAACGGCTCGCCACGCCAAAATTCCAACTCGTCTGCCATTTGTAAGTAAACACCAGACGGAAAAAATGTCAAACACGTTTATGTGCGGTCAAGCAAAGAACCAGTGACAAGTCGGATGTGTTTTCGTGTGTTTGTGCGCGCTCGTGAGGGTATGTGAGTTGATTATGTGAGTTGCCAAAGGGGAAAAGACGCAGTTGGTGGTGCCAAATTCCACCAAAAAGGAAGAGAGACGGGATGCGAGGAGAGGGGGAGAATTTAACGGCCTGTCTAATGAGTCGAGCATGTTTCCATGAAAGACTGCCACATCGCCAGGGTTATGCTTGTCTCATTCCCACAACAATCCTGGCCAGTCGCCTTGGACGGGGGTTGGGACGTTTCCAAAGAGCAACAGTAAAAAGACGTGTTTAAAAATGCAAAAACGAAAATGGGATAAAGTAATAAGGAAGAATTGTAAGCAAAAATAATACAGTAGCAGGCCAACTTCACGTGCAGCCGGTGGCGTATTCTAGACAAAGGAGAAAGAAGGGCGACATTGTAAGTGCAGTTGCGTTGAAGAAATGCATGCGGAAATGCACGTACTTGCAGGTCCCCAGATCCGGATTTCGCCGTCGTCGTTGACTGATGCCATCATTGTGGGCACCGAGGGGTTCCAGTGGACGCCCGTCACCGGAATTCCGTTGTTATTGGCCGCGACCACGGAGTGGATTGGCCGGCAATTCTCGGGACCGCCCACGTGCCAGATATGGACGAAACCGTCTACGAAAAAGGGAGTGGGCAGCGCATTATCCGCGATCACGCGAGGGTGAAGTCTGTTTGGTGACCTACTGCATTGGCTACTGTTATCAGACGCTTGTCACTCGCTCAAGCATCCACACACACCTGGCTAACGTGACCTTAATAAAAGGTCGTACCCGCTGTCGCTCTATTCGAACTTTCAGGGGCTGTTCACTAGAGTGTTATAAGGGGGTGCTTAGCAAGCCACTATAGTGCGTAGACCTGGCTACAACTGCTTCAAACAAGCTGCGATAACTGCTGTGAAGTGAAGTGCCTACGGCTTGAGAGTCAGTGATTGGTTAAAATGAGAAAGCAGAATGTTGGCTTTACTTTCACTGCCGCAGGCCACGAAGTCCTCGTTAATACCGCAAAATGTGTAGAAAAGTCGCTGTTGAACCTGATGGTGCCCGTAGAACCGTTGGATTATGCCACGCGACTCCAAGTCCCAGAGAACTAGGCCCTACAGTGGGTAAAATGCAAGAAATGGTCGGCGACATCGCTAAATAGGTGTAGGAATCACCACGAATAGCCAAGGTGGCGACAGGCGTCGGTAACAAACAACGCCCCGACTGCTTTTGAAGCATACAAGTCGAAGGTTGCTTGTCGCCTGACTGCCGCTAAACGTAATCACCTGATCACAGCTTAGACGTGCTCCAGGCGGTATGTGGCATGCTATTGATCAAAAGTTGTCATAGTGAACTGAGGTAGGTTGAGATGAATACAATGAGACCACAGCATTTTAGCTCGACTTAGACTGAAGGGGCAGAGCTAGGTGGGAGTTTTCTGCCCGGAATTAAGCACTAAGAAAGGCAGAAAGAAAACTAGTGAAATCGAAGGGTAGATTTGCGAAAAATCATGACCCCAAGAAAGGCCATTTAGCCACGGGTGAATTTGGCAGCCAACTATGATGCCAACGCGTGGGTGAATTTAGCGGAAAAATGCCAGTTCACCGCTGTCTTGTCCCCGTGGGAAAGTCACCTTGACCTTGGCCACACACGTGAAACCTCGACACGAAAAAGTTTGAACGAATTTCTGCCCATGCTTTCCCATCCATGTTATGGGTACTTTACCAGAAAAGCTACTGCGCATGAAAATGGTGCAAAATAAGCAGATGAGGGCGTGTTGTAGTGCCCAGGCAATGTGTCAGTTCTACCTTGGCATTGAGACCGACAAGAAGGCGTTTCCCGGAGGGAGAGAGAACGATGGACTGAATGGGGTGGATCTCCTTGATGAGAGTGGCCTGATGCAGGAGACCGTAGACCTGGCTCTGGGATGAATTGGAGGTCGTCGTGGAGGTTGACGTGGAGGTGGAGCTGGCCTGCTCCCCGGGGCCGCCGCCTCCTCCTGTGGCACCCTCGGTATTTGTTGAAACCTCGGCCGTCTCTGAGTCGCCCTCCTGAATGGTCGCCGCCATTGTCGAACTTGATGGAGAAAAGAAGACCTCTAAGTACCTAGGAAAAATCCGGCAGCCATCACAGCCCACAAACGCATTCGCAGCATCCTACATCGTTACTAGCTATTCGTAGTGTTCTAGCATAACAAGCAGTAATTAAATCATGTGTATTATCAAAGCGAATGTAGTTTAGAGAGGTATAAAGTGGACGCCACATTTTCCTTTCATTGCCCAATGACAAAGAACTGAATCATGTGATAATCAGCGCAGGCAATGCAAGCCCAAACGAAAACTAGTTACCACAGTTTAGGTCAACGGTGGAATTGAAAAGTGCTAATTAGGAAGAGCCACCGTTTATGCTGTGGTGGCAAATTTTCACAAGCCGTTAACGCAGCACAGAAGCGATCTCACCTGGGCTCCGGAGTACACCGTCAGACGAAAATTTCGACTTTCAACTCATTGGCTTCATGATCTAAATGCCATCGAGCTCCGACTTTGCCACTCATTATAACATACAACTGCCCACGAAGGACAATTTCGAGGTCAGGTCAAATTCTCGAAAACGACAACCTTGGTTAGAGAGTCAAGCAGGACGAGTGAACTCATGGTTACTTTAAGGTGACAAAATCAGCAGCTTATCTAATACAAATGTGACTTATGGAGATTGTAGAGTACAACCGTCGCAGTTCAACTGCGCAGTAGTGACATTGATTTTCAGAAATTTAGGCCGTTAGTGTAGAATGCTTTGCCTTGAATTAAATAGAGCGCGATGAGTGTATTCGCTAGCAGCGCGTGGGTACCAAAATAAGGCCTTGAGAACACCGAGGAGTAAGAGCAGAACCCTCTGACTTACCCGGGAGTAGCTGATGCTCGTGACGTGCCACCCCCACTGCGCGAGGGAGGTGTCGACACAATGGACGCACTGCGGCCGAGGGCGTAGTTTTGCATGATGCGAGCGATGATGGCTGGCGAGCGAACAGCTGTCGCCGAGGTCACTGCAGAGCCTGTGTAAGGTGACATGGGGTCACCGGAGATTTGGAATATCGATTCGGCTGCAGCACCGACACCTTGACCGGTGAGGCTGGAGACGCTTGACGTGCTGCCGTCTCGATTGATGGCAAGCAGGGCGAAGCCGGGGCTAGTGGGGCTGGCCTGGGCATGAAGCACCACCTGGTGGGCAAGGCTTGTGCTGCCACTGCCACTCCCACCGCTGCTACCACCACGCGAATCTGTTGATAGACCTAAAAGCAGTGCAAGATTTGCTTAATTCACGCCTGTCTGCACATCCTTCAAGCATTCTTCGGCGTTAGGAAGAAAGGTATTGGTTGCAACCATAGTATTTAGCTTTTTGTTGACATTAGAAGCGATTTAGCCCCTATTCATACCTGCACTCACTAGCCTGACTTCGTGCGTCTTGCGAGGTCACGCGACAGAACTCAAGAATGCACCTCTTTGACGAAGGTGGAACCCGGAAGATCAGTACTTGATTAAAACGCTAGAATATCCACATGAACGCCAAAAAACGCACAACTGAGTAGAGCCATCTAATGAACGGTTGATTTATTGTCGTCCCTGGCTTTCATAGCCATCCCAGGCATTTGCGTAGCGAGAAAGGCCTTCAAAGGGATGCTTGGTGAGTTTGACAAGACGCAAGATGTCGATAAAAGAAAGAAACCCGGCTTCTGCTAGCAAAAGACGCATTTTCAGGTGTGCGTGCTGACTCGAGCCACGCCGTGGTCACAGCATTGAATCTAGTCCGATTACGCTACCCTCAAGTCCGGAAAGCTGAAGACCGGAGAGCGCGAGGACCAGGCGCTTACTAGATAGTTGAGTGGTGTCGTATGCGTGCATCAGAGGTGGTGCATGACTCACGTGTTTTAGCTGACGGATACAATTTGGATTGACTAGTAAAAATACAAACGTCTAAACGGACGCATAGAATGAAACGGGCAATGGTGGTACATGCACGGTAGCGTGTGATCAGACAGTCCCACATGACTGACGGGCTCACTGTGAAAAAGGGGCAGCGAGTTGGAGAAAGCGGCGACAGGGATGATGAACGTGGAGCAACACGATTCACTGCAAGCATTTATGTAATGTAGTGAACGCTAGGAAATGGTTTATGTGCTTACGCAGAACGCATTAAGCCATCAGTAATGCGCCAATTTCACCGCGTTTTCTTCCATAAAATTGCTGATAATTAGGTGTCCGCGCGGGATTGGCAGAGAAGGCGAAAAGGTAGCAAGAAAAATACGTGCACAAAAACAGCTTCGACGCTCAAGGAGCAATTTCAACTAATTTTGGCGGTCAGCGGAAAGACGATTTAATGACACGTACCGAGAGCGGATCCCGGAGAACTGGCCGCATGCGCCTGATGTCTGCTCACACCGAGAACGCCGATATTTGAATCCGAGGTGGTTTGTCGCACAGACGCCACGCCGGCACTGACACCGCCTGCCTGCATTGGAGGAGGCACCACGCCGGCACTCCTTGCGACCACACGTGAGGGCATGAGGGAGCTTTGCAGGGCCGCAAGTATTGACGCGACGCTCCCACTACCCGCTCCGGCACTGGTCCAAGCCGCAGTGGCTGGATCCACTTCCTGAGGGAGGATGATGCGGCCACGTGTAGCCGAACTGGAATGGCCAGGTCCTGTGTTGGCAACGCTGTCACCCGCTCCAGGCAATGTGTAACCGAACTTGAAAAGTCGAATGCGGTACATGTGGTCGACGACGAGGAGCTGATCTACGGGCGCAAGGAGTTGTTCAAGGGCGACAGCAGCGGCTGTTGAGGGATGTTGTAGGGGGGTGCTGGAATCCAGGTCGACGGTGGAATCTGGAGTGAGACCAGCGGCAAGCGTGGCTGCCACCATTGCAGAGGAAGGCGAGGAAGGGGTGAGAAGGGCAACCATACTCTGCACTCGACAGTACTCGTGGGTGAATAGCACTTTTCCTTCGTCCTCTGTGTCCTACAAATCCGATTTATTCGAGTTTTTAAGGAGACCGTCACCATCGAGGAAACAACAGGGCCAGACGCATGTAAAGGATCACCACCGACTTACGATGATATAGAAACAGCCGCCTTTGAGCCCGCCGAATGCGAGCTTTCGACTGTCTGCGAAGAATGTCGCCGCCCCGTACACGTCCTCACTCTTCTCCTGCTTCTGGCATAACTGACGTCGAGTGGCAACGTCAAAGACCAAGATAGGACCTGGTCGAGACCCACAGCACACAGCCAACCTAGAGAAAGCAAAGACAATAAGTACTGGGCATCAACTAAGCTTGTAAGGACAGAGTAAATCATATTCCTGTCTTGCAATGTCTTGGTCCTTATAGGAAGCTTAGTTTTTTGGGTTCGGCATGAATCCGTAAATGTACACTTAACGCAAGCATTCGGTACTTGCGGTGCCCATCGTAAATCCAATGAAATAACCCCCTCTTTGTAGTGTCAACAATAACACCGGGTAAAAACGATCATGGAGAGTATGAGATGAAGCAGTACAAACGCCTGAACTGCCTAAGAGAACAGTCATGCTGTCAATTTTGCGGAATTAAAGGGGGTGTTGTTTACCTTGAGATGCACACACGTTATCAACTATAACTGAAGCTGGATTGGAGAATAGCTGACAAAATGCAGTTCTAAATTGGCACGTATTCGCAAAGTTGTGTTGCAAAAAGGCGACGTAAGGCCACACACACACACACACACACACACACACACACACGCAAACAGTAACTCAAGGAAAATTAGAGAGCTTGACTATGAAGTGACTCGTTTTTCCTACGTAGCTCCGACCTTGGGTTTTCACATTGGTCCGAAATTAAGTACATTGTTCGCGACCCAGTGCAGTGAAGTTAAGCATTATCTCGGAGTCTTTATGACACCATTTCCAATCAAACTATTCACGCGAATATGCATAAGTGACATGAAATCAACACTAAACTTAATAAACAAGTCTCGTGTTTAACTTGACAAGTCATAGATCAGTTGACAAGTCAAAAGAACAAAGTTACGTTTCAATACGCAAACTGTAGGCATTTTACGGAATCGATCAGAACGGCGTGGTGGAGAATAGGGATGGGATTGGAAAATAGGTAATAGTAGATAGACAAGACGAACAAAGGTCAGTTAACAAGATAAAACGAACAGGAATCAGGATTCAGGGCAAGACCTAAGGAAGCAGCAAAGTTCACAAATTACTAAAACCCAAGATGTGGATTTAATCTGGAAATTGAGACTAGGCAGTGAACAATCATCACCTGCTACTACGACATGACTGGTGATGCCAGTCAACAGAGCGTAAGGCAGTGTAATAGATTATAAGCCTACTTTTTCGAGTCTGGAGACCAGCATAGGTGGTTGATGGAGGCCTCAATGGTGAAGAGGGTTCGCGAGGAGTGGATTGTGTGGGTCTCTGGATCCACCTTCCAGACATCCACGTTGGCATCTTTACCACCTGTGGCTAGGTAATTGCCATCGGGAGAAAAGACACAAAAGTACAACTCGCTGTCACGATGATCGATTTTCTGCACCGGGAACACGGGGAAGTCCTGGCTGAAAGAAGAAAAGGAATCATTAAGGTAGAAATGACTAATTTCTAGTAAAAAGCGACACTGACAGGGGAACATCAGAACATCATCAAACATCAGAGTTCGATGATCAAAATTACACTGTGACAATAAACCTTCAAGCCTTAAAATCAAGATGTGAAGAAATCAGGCGACAAATAGCTAATTGAAGAATGCAGGGTCAACGTCGAACATTCAGACTGAGCATAACCATTTTATTGATAAGGACAGGGACCAAAGTTTCAGACACAAAAAAGAAAAAGTCGTTGAGGGAACGCAAACACACGGGAGCTCGGATCGGTTTGAAATGAAACGAGTCATGCTAGTTCACGACAGCCATGGCTACACTGTCGTCAGTTGACTTTAACTTGAGAAAAATGACAAAACATTCGGCTTGGGTATCGCTTTTGACAATTGGAGGAGTTAAAATATTCCACACGAAATTGAACTGTGAATCATCTTGCAGTTATTAGCACTACACAGCTTATAAATAGCATGTTGCAGGTTTGACTCAACGATGTATTCGCCCCATAGACGGTCTTAATACACAACAACTGACATAGTGCGAGTTTAAACGAGTCAAATGTTACATAGGATAAAACAAGTGTCATTTCATGAGACTAAGGACGGGCCTATGTTGAGTACAAGTAGTTATTGAAGTGGTAGATTGAGGGTCGCATTTAAGGAGTCAAAATAAAACTTATCAAAATCACTACGCGCATATAAATCAAGTTAGTGAAGAGTGGAATAGATTGCAATATGCAAAGAGCTCACGTGAGCACAAGGGCACATTCGAGTAAACACAGTATTCAGCACATTACAATGACTTAGAAAAGCAGGGTTTAAGTCGCAAGGACTACAAATCAAACAACACGAAGGTCGGAATTCTTTATGAAAAAACTAAGGAAAGGAGCTCTGATTAGGAAAAGTGATTGTCTACCCAGGAGTAAGTTTCCGAAAAAGCTACCCCTTTACTCATTGTGGCAAGCACAATTGAAGAGATGAAGACAATTATGCTTGAATTAGATTTCCAAAAATATTGAACCAACGGAAACTCGACATTATGGGTGTTGCTATTTGACGACTAGGGATGGACGGATGCGATGATCTAGAACATAGCTTGTAAATAAACTCAAACTGCCGGCAGCTCCGTTACGAATAATCTTCACAAGAATTTGCTGCAGTCATTTGCCTGCAGACGAAGTGAGTTTTAGAGTTATTTAGTTCAATTCCGAAGATTGCTTTACAGAGGTTACACACAGACAATCGGTGATGACAAGCACGCCCCAAGACAATGGTACACATTCACAATGTCTAAATTGAGCAGTGGTGATAATAGGATACAAAGGCACTTTGGTACAAACGCTGATACCGGGACCAACTAGCAGCAATAACCTGACAGTGGAAATCTGTACGCGTAGACCGGCTACATACTAAGCCAAATACAGTTAGCGTGACGGAGCTAGCAACAAATTGACCCAATACGTGATACATCCGTTGAATTTCAGACTTGACAAACTCCAGCGCATGTTTTACCTTAAAGAGACGCACAGCAAAGGGTAACTTTCGAAAACGGTTGAGACACGATTGCATAATTTAAAGACCACTATAAAATCGACTACCTTATAAATGCAGAATACTGGGAAGAAAGAATCATACGTACATACTACAAGTGTGTGGCTGCAACAGGGAAGTGGACTCAAGAGCTTCAGGCCAAGAGATAGGTTGTGTGTGAAAAGTGCATGTGGTAAGCTGAGATCGAATCGCCTCTGTAACAAGGGTCTCTAGCCTGCCAGGTGGCAGCATGGTTTGCGCCGGCATGAAACGCTGGATACAGTCGACTAAGACGGAGCGACTTCTGCCATTGGTTCCACTCCACCCACCAGCTTGATCACGAAGCTCTTCGGCAGTTCGACACATAAGACATCTAGTGATAAAAGACGGTAGCATTAGGCAAGCGAAGAAAACGACTAGTTTTAATGAAGAAGTTTTACTGAGCCAAATTCTGAAGTCGTTTAGGATCCGGCTGAAGGGGTGTTATACGATTACGAAGAAGTGTAAGAGCCGAAATCACTTCTTCTGCCTCAAGTAATTCGAGAAATTGTTGCTCCAACAGAAGAAAACGAATATGTGCAAGATTAGATGGGTTGTTAATAGTAGGAGCGAGCTCCTCGACAGCCTTCTCAGTCTAAAATACAAAGGATAAATAATGATCTACACATAACGCCAGGAGAAAGCCAACTGGCTGGAAACAAAGTTGAGCACTACCGCTTCCCAGTTTCCAGACAAAATGGCCGCCCTGAGATCGGTGGCTGGTTGAGGTTCGAGGACAATGCCTGAATCCTTAGCTAATTGTTCATAAGCATTGCTAGACAGGAGGTATACACCTAAATACCAAGCCTACCTGTATCCCTTATCACAGAGGTACTGTCCAATAAGTCGAACCATTTCGATGTCCCGCATATGCAAAGGTTTCGAATTGAGTCCATTCAGCTTCCCGGTCACGGTAGCAGCTTTAACAATATCATGGGGGTCATTTATTTTTGATGAGGCAAAAGTCATATCTGCAGACACTTTTCCACGGGGAACCGTATTACTGCAGAGAAATCAAGGAATGCGACAAACAAAAAATCAGTATCAGACAGATCTTTGAACTTCGCGCACACTTTACAGCTGACCACCCATGAAAACAGTCTGCATATTTTCAAAAACATGCCATCAATATCCACCAACAAAACCACTTTTCAGAAGTCCTAATTATTCGCTTACCATTCATCTTACTTTATATTCACCCATATAAGGCACGTAGAGCCAAGATCATGCGAAGTCAAAACTAAACATTGAATTTTCAAATCAAATTACCATGAATCTACAAAGAAACATGCCAATTCTACAAACGACCACTGATTTCCTTTTTAATTTTATACTAAAACTGATCATTGAGAATTTCAAATAATCGAAACTATCTTAGAAACATGACTTTATCTGTTGTGTATAAATAAACTGGATCTTCAAATTTGTGGAATTAGAGAAATTCGAAGTGGCTTGAATTGTTTGTGCAGCTTGATCCTATAGCTTAGGTTAAGTATTAAAAATCGCAATATTGTCAAACAATATGCCGTCCTAATGGCATGTGATATCGCTCGTAGGGACAATAAAATCTGTTTTCAACAAGAAATGAAAAATGTTTTTGCAGAAGCCGTTCAGCTGAATTATCACTTTAATAATTTATTTCTGCTGTAGTTCAATATCTTTAACACGTTTAAATTTCTTGATGCAAATCAGTAAAGACAAAAGAAGGTAGTGTTCTATTACACCGTGTTTCCCCAACTAGGTAAAGGGTTTGAAACTGAAATCAACTTAAAACGTTGTTGTTTTGCCAGGCAATGGCGCAGATAATTTTTCCTAGTTATTTTTTTTGACCTTACACAAATCGAGGATTCCTAACTAAGTGAAAATCCATAAAAATGCTCTGAGATCTAAATAACATTGATTGTGCTACAGTATGCGCCTTTAATTTTCAAGAGGCTTGCCTAAATTTGATTTTTCTGAAAAAAAAAAGATTTTCGTGTATTGGCTTAAATCGTTACATATGCTATTCCAAACTAACTCGGTGCTCAAATATTGGATCATATTATAACACTTCCTTCATTAAGTATGTGTTGGCATTCGTAGACCTAGCATTTCGAAATAGTTACTGTTTGTAATTCTTTTCTGTTTGGTTAAAATTCTGATATAGTGCAATGATTCTTGACATGGAACCTGTTTTGAGCTGAATGCGACCATTCTTGGTTTAAATTCTAAACAACTTTCATATATTTCGCGTTTGTACAATCGAATGCGTGGTTTTGCATTTTATATCCTTGAGTACATTTTTTTATATATTTTGAAATCACTGTTTTTGTTTGTCCATAATGAATAAGAAACCACTTGAATTAATCAAGCGTTTATATATTTTATCCAGAATAAATTTTTAGTGGCTAGAGATTTAGCCCCACCTTAAATCCTTCTAATTAACGGCCCGTTACAACCCGAGGATAGGGGAAAAGGAGGCGACAGAGAACACGACCTTTAATTGGTGTCACATCAGCCAAGTGGCTTTGTGGGCGCATGAGCACGCTTGCGTAACAGACGAATTCTGACAAAGGCCAATAACAAAAGGGGTGAGTCATTGGTCCACTCGGACCCTCATGCACGCATCATTCATGCGAAGTGGCTGTCAGTCCACAGCAAATTCACCCATTCAATTGTTAATCAATAATAGGTGCATAACTGCATTCGTGTATTTGGTACGTATTGTTTAAAAGTACACTGGCAGAGATTGTGTGACAAGCATTATGTTAGGCTTGACGTAGTTACATGTCTGTAAAATCTTACTTACTGAGCTTTACCTTGAATTTAGTTTGTACATTTGTTCGTTAAATTGTTGATAGTACAGACACTAAAGACCCACCTCCTGCAAGCTAGTGACCAACATTTAGGGCATATTTTTAGTTTAAGATATTATTTTTAGTGCGTTCTCCCCAGTTGTATTATCAATACTATTTAGCATTTATTTGACAAATATCTGTTTCCTTCACTTCGAGGGAGCAATCATACTTAACATCATCATGTTCTGTAACCGCCATAAAATTAAGCTTATTTGCAGATTAATTACCGCCATAAGAACGTAACGTCACGAAAGATAATTTGGTTGCGTAAGCTTTTTCCTGTTTATTTGGAATCAACCCCAGAGTTATGAGTCAGATTTTGTTAGCTAATTAAATTGGAATGGTTTGAGTGCGCTTTTAAGGCACATTTACTGGTAAATGTATATCTCAAAAAACGCCAGTTATATGAGAATGTTCCCACTGGTAAACATGTGGATGTGCCAATTTCTGTGACTTTGAAGTCCATAAGCCGCTACGATATGGCGATGGCGATGCAACAGGCACAAAATCTAAGAAAAATATTCCAAAATTTGAAATTCTAAATGGAAATGGTATAGTAATAAACAATAATTGTATATTACTAGTCTAATATGTGATATCTTATATTGGAACTTAGGCTAATAAGACCATGCAAATCTCTTTTTTATCTTTGCATAACTAAAAATATTTGGCAGGCCTAAAAGTCCTGATGCAGCATTTGGCACGAAGCGCAAAAGAGTTGTACTGTGGATTTAAAATGCCAATATCATATCTTGGTTCTTTTTCCATTGGCATTCCAACTGGTATTTGAATAGTTCCAATTAACCTTGATTACAATTCCGCGGTATTTGTTAGTTATTGAGGCAGCTTTGGTTGTCGGTATTTTGGTCATTCCTGCGATTAGGATAGAGATAATAGGTTCTAATTTATTTTTTATGTACTATCTTTTATTTTAAAATTGATAAAATGGCTATTAATGGGCCTTTTCTTGAGAAACAGGTATTTTTTACAGGTGGTTTGCGTTCAAAAGTATACAGCAGGTGTTTATAGATGTATGAGTTTCAAGACAGTGTTAATTCTAATTAAGAATAAACGTTTGATCTTTATTGTAACAATTTTATCCCTATTAATATATCTAAACCATTAAATCATAATCGCATTCTGACCGGTACGTTTTGGATTTTTACGTGACTTTTCCACGTTTGAATGGCCTGAGTGTCTTTGAAGCATAGTTTGGACCATGAGGTGGTCCTTATTTTTAGGCTGTAGAGAAAACCCTTGACTAAATGCCTGTGCCTATTTAAGCAACTTATTGCCCCATCCACTGTTTTTTCGCAGAATGTCCCATTCAACTGATCAGCGGTCATTTTTTAAAGATGTTCAGCAACTTTATCGCGTGATTGATACCTCGACTGACGGTCAAGCCTCCATAGTGTCCGTGAATGAATTGTCATTGATTGTGTCGTTGAATCCCAAATTTGGTCGCAATGCACACGCTGCGTTTATTGTCAATGTGAGTGTGTATGAAGAATATCATTATAAAATATTCGACACTAAAACAACAAAAGTGGCTTTTCATTATTCTTGGATGCAATATTTGTTGTAATACCACGTCGACCGTCTAGTTAAGACCTATTAAATCGGTTTTTAACAGCCAGTCACGTGACTGTTATTTTAATGGCACATGGGTGACATTGGCGATTTTTTGCAGTTAAGATATGTTTGGGTGGTCGTTTTGAAGGTTTATGTGGTTTCTCTGTATAAATTTTTTTCTATAACTGACGTCCGCTTACGGAATATTTTTGACAGTTTATTTATGAATAGGGAATCAGTCAAATTACTAAGCGAGACTTGTCTCTAATGGTTACACAATCTAACTGACATTCTGAGTAGCGATTTCATAAGGAGCTAAAAATGTCAAAAGTAGAATTATGAAAATTAACGTCGTTTATTTAGAACCCTACAAAGCATAAGTTTTTCGTCCAAGTAAGAGGGACGACGTAAAGTGCATTTAATGCATTTGTATTTTCTTGGTATTTCACAGATTGATTGCCCTTTGAATTATCCAAAAGCCGGCCCTGAAGTTCGCTTTACTACGCCAATCTTTCACCCCAATATCCGTCACTCTGATGGGGACGTTTGCGTAAGCATTCTCAATGAGTGGCATTGGTACGTATAAACGTATGTGAGCATGTTGCGTAATCCAGAATTCTAAGGTTACTGGTTTTTTCCAAGGCTTTTACACTTCTCTATTTTCACTTGTTGCAAATTCGATTAATTTTGACTGTTGGAGTTAGTTGTGCAATGTTGCTCGACGCGTCCATAAGGCAGTGTGTTGTTCTATCGATGCATTTTCAGCTGTTACAGCCTGTTGGATGTGGTTAAGGCCCTCATCTACCTCATTGAACATCCAAATTTTGAATCACCAAACAACGAATTTGCATCGAATGAGAAGCTGTTTGACGGAAAGACATTGCGGCTACTAGCAGGTCTGCGTGTAAATGGACGGCGATTTCCGCCAAACCAAGCCTGGTGTGAGTGGGCAGAGGCCAATGGATGCCTGCCTGTTGATGACGAAGAGATTGAAGATGATTCAAACAACGTTGGAGATGCGGTGCATGTGGAAGCCCAGCAGGAGCCAAACAAACGCATTGAGTCTCTTTCTTGCATTGAAACCTATGCACATAATGCAAGTCAATAGTCATAGTAGCATCTTGGTTTGAAGTTAATTACTAATGCTAAATGAGGCACTAATTTGCAACTTACAGACAGGGTGTTTGGTGTCATTGATTGGCGCTTGCGTAAACCGAGTACAGCTTTTGTTGGGTTTGTCAAATCCATTTCAGAACAATGAATTTGTTAGAGTTGTTTTTCTATTTTTCACGTGTGCTTTACTTCAAATTTTATTTGTCTGCAGGTTGAGGCAGATGAAAAGACCCATCGCCGCTTCTCGAATGCTTCCTCTGACACTGTTCCTTCTTTCGCCAAAATTCGATTCTCTCTTGATTCTGTGAGTGGCACGTCATCGTGGACATACTACACGCAAGATTACTATTGCAGCTACTTTAAGACACAACGCATTCTCATTGGCCACCCAAGTGTGAACAACGAACCTTTACCTCCTTCAGTATTCTACTACAGCGAGCTCCTTGGTAACCCTGATTATCGAGGTGAACTCGGTGATCTTTACTGCACACTGTTCGCTGGCGACGTTTTGCCCACCATGCAGGTCCACCCCGAATCCAGACAAACCTCCTCTCTTTGTCCCTGGTACCTCTTTTACCTTAATTCTTACCCTCCGTCCTGGGCCACGGATTCTGTCTTCAATCTGACCAATCTGTTCACATACACGGAACCACGGAGGCCTTCGTTGACTGCGGACTTTTGTCCGTGGTCCATGCTGGATGGACGAGGTACTCTAGACCTCTTTGGTGGGTTGTTTTGCGAAAAAGGGATCTATCCTCGTGGAAGTGACTTTTCTCTTGACGGTGATGGTGAAGATCTGGCTCAGCTTTTTATTGAAAGCCTTCCGATGGGAGGCAACATCTGTGTCGATGCAGAACTGGAATACTCAGCTCAAATTGTCGAATCAAGTGAATTAGATTTGGATGCTGAATACAAAAATAATGATGAAGCAGAACAGGATGATGACGAAGAAGAAGAAAGTGATCATAAAGAAGTAGAACAGCAGCCAGCAGTCAAAGCTGAAATGCAAAATATGCTCGTCAATGATGCTTTATCGACGAGTTCGTCGACAACTTATCACCGAATACCATCCGAATCTCGACTTAGCCTATGCTCCTGGTGTTGTTCTATTGAATTTGATGAAGCCGCAAAGTCAATGAATGCTAAGTTGCTTCCACGGTGGCATTGGATATTTCGTCAGACACGATGGCCTCTTCGGTTTGCGCCCCAACAGAACATCGAGATGTCCATGAATGGAATCAGAATCCCGCCATGGCGAGCGAGTGCCGGAAGACTGCTGTCGGATGTCAGTAGGTTTTGTTCAGAACATCGTGAGGTGAAGAACCTTGTTCTTCTTGACCCCATGGTAAATTTTCACCTTCTTATTTTTCATCGACTGTTGAAACGTGGCGTATTGTTGTTTTGGCTGACGAGTGTAGTTTGATTTTGAACACCTAGCGTGCTACAAACTCAACATTTTTAGTTCTATTCCTGATTTGCAAGTCTTGTCTTGTCAGGCATTGTCACCGCTGTCGCCACTGCTCAATCTGATGCGATACTA